TTATCTTATACTTATACAGGGTGTCCCGTAATTCCTCGAACACCTGGAAATGGGGGGTGGCTGGGGTGGCTCTGAACAACTTTTTCCTTTACCAAAATGTTGTTTGAAGCTTCATTTTTGAATTATTATCAAAAAACACTGGCCAATCACAGCGCCCGTAGAGCCAGTGCCACAGTGTTTGAATGAGGAGCTTTACCCCTCGGTGACGTAGAATTATTTCCCGTGGACCATGTCCCGGATCATTTTGATGAGGTGTGTTGGGAACTCTTTTTAAACAGTATTAAAAGCTTTTTCTAGGTCTATAAAAATTTCTCCTACGCATTCCTCTGCATTTCTTGCCCAGCAGATGTCTGATGTGAGTTTTGTAATTGCGTGAATTGTTGAATGTTTGTGTTTGAAGCCGAACTGTGTTTCTGGGATTATATTGTTTCTATTGCAGAATGAGTTAATGGCATCGTTTATTGTTGTCTCGAATATTTTGCTTATATTAGGAAGGAGGCTGATGAGCCTGTAGCCCCTCTGGGTTGCTGCCATCTTTCTATTTTTTTTTTATTGTTACGAGTTTAGCGGTTTTCCAGATTTTCGGGAAGCATGAGTGGTTTAGGCTGTTCTTGAATAGGATGGGGGTAGGTTTTTTAATGCAATATTTGGAATTTTGTCGAAGCTAGACGATCTTTTGTTATTTAGTTTTTTAAATGTTTTTATTAGTTTGTCGAATGATGTGAAATAGTTGGGTGGTGTGAAGGTTGGGGTCAGGGTGGTCTGCTGTGTTTGATTTTGCGAATGTGCATATTGTTTTATCGGTGTGTCTGTCTTGTTGTATTTCTTTTTGTAATGTATTTATTTTATGTCTGAATACGTTGGTTAGTTGTTCTTTACCCATACTTGCGTTTTGTGTGTGCACTATTTCGAAGTGGGCGCCTAAAATATTTAGTTTGTCTTGTGTTTCCGTAATGAGTGTGTTGTTGTTGGAATCTGTCTGTAGATTTTTGTTTTTATGTCTGCTTTGTGTAAGAGGTTTCTATTGGTGGTTGAGATAATGAGTGTGTCTATATTGCTAAAATTTTTTGGTCCGAAAATTCTGTTTATTGAGGAGAAAAGTTGTTTGGGTTTGTGTTGTGATAGGTTTTTGATTTCGTTTGACCAGAAGTTATTTACTGATCTTTGGGATGCTTTTCTGATTTCTTCTCTGATTTTTTTTAGTGATTTTTTTGCTTCGTCTATTTGTGTTTGTTTGCTGCCGTGTAATTTTGAACAGGAAAGCTCAAATATATATCCATTCTAATTATCAAAATATGCACTATAAAAACACGGTGCAATGTTTCCGGAAAAATTATTCGATTTTAGTAATGTATTCAATAAACATCTTGGCTAATAAAGTACTTTTTTGGGATTATATTTTATACAACTGCAAGATGGAGAAACCTGAGACAGAGTCAGCTGAAAATTTATATCTGGGGAACCCTCGGTCTGGCGGATTATCGTCATAAACTTGTTCAATTACACTTGCTTGCCAGACCGAGGTACCGGTCTTCTCGCGCGTACCGTACCCCCCGTGAAGAGGTCACGTGCGCAGTGGAAAGTCACGCGGCAACCCCTGGGAAAAATCCAAAAAATGGGGTTTTCTAACATGAGCAACAATCCCTTTCCCTTGGAAGGAGCTGTGTCCCACGTAAACAATCTCCATCAATGAAGACTCAGTACCTATACCGCACAGAGGAAAATGGCCACCAATCAGCAACCGGCCGAGCTGATAAAACCAAGGACACGAAGGAGGAGTGCGTCTTTTTTGGCAGTCTTTTGGCAGTTGGTCACCGAAGAAATAGTATTTTGGTAGTCACGTCGCAATATCACCTTGTAACAACCATCAACGAAAACGACGACAAAAATTTCCATTCCGCGAGAGGAAGTGAGAGGGACGACTCTCTATTGTAAGAGTAAAGAATTGCAAGGGCTTAGAATAACTGATTTTTAAAATGACGTTGGTTCGCTGGTCGGTGGTTGGATACAATAATGTGTGGGCCGCTGCCCTTTTTCCCGTTTTTATACACTTCTTCGGCCGTTAGGGCCCTGCAAGCCGTGGGGTGGGGGTGCAGCCTGCACTGTTCCTTGTCTACGGCCCCCTGCGGCTCGGGTTCCGTGGTCACTGCCCAGGCGCGTCGCACGGCGCCTTACACTATCCTCGTCGACGATCAAATAATCGCGAAGTGATAGAAGCTTTCTTATGGTTAAGTTCTTCGTTTAAGAACGTTCTTATGGTTAAGAACGATTATTTTAAGAATTGCATTGGGCAAAACGATCGATATTGGTCAGGAAGTAAATCCGGAATATTAGCGTCCAAGACCAAATTGTGTATACATTATTACTTGTTGTCCATACACTCGTGGGGTGGGGGTGCAGCCTGCACTGCTCCTTGTCTACGGCCCCCTGCGGCTCGGGTCCCGTGGTCACTGCCCAGGCGCGTCGCACGGCGCCTTACACTATCCTCGTCGACAATTAAATAATCGCGAAGCGATAGAAGCTTTCTTATGGTTAAGTTCTTCGTTTAAGAACGTTCTTATGGAGAATTGCATTGGGCAAAACGATCGATATTGGTCAGGAAGTAAATCCGGAATATTAGCGTCCATGACCAAATTGTGTATACATTATTACTTGTTGTCCATACACCCTTGGATCCCAAAACGTAAATGTGTGACTGAATCCATTTTAGTTTACCCTAAGATTCAAAATTTTGTCTGCTTCATTATTTAAAATAATAAATGCCTATCAGTGTTCTTGATTTCAATTCCTACCGCTAATAGCGCAGTGATATAATACCAATCCCAATCGATATAGTAGGATGTGACACGAAAATGGTAACGGCGTTTTAGGACCCCGGGGTCGTGTGATAAAAAAGTACATTGAATGAGTGGTCTACTCTACATATATCTCATCTGTGCTCATAGCCCTAACGTGGATAAAAAAATGCATTGGGGTTAGGTCTATTTTGTACCTCGTTTGTGATAGTACTTACGACGTTAATTTCTAAATGACTCATATACAATAAATTTGTTGTAACGGAAATCTCAAAAAATGTATTAATATTTTTCAAGCTTTAGAAAAGTGAAAACTAAACATTTTTTTGCTATTCCTGAATAATAAAAGTAGTTTTATGCTGTTTCAAAAATTATTTATGAAACCCAAAAATTTCTGTTTGAAATGACAAAAATATGCCGACACAGTATCACAGATCGACAGCCATCGTTTTCGCGCCTCGAAAATCAGCACCACAAAGACCCTTGTATCGGCACGTGACTCGTCTGGCTTAACTGCTTATGGGAGATTCGATCGTCGCTAATTGTTATTCATGGAAGAGTAAGTGTGGTAGCCTTACTCTATTCCTATTGGCTGATTAACTGCGAAGACGTCACAATTTCTCCTGCATCTCTTATTTCTGGACCCTTAGTCTCGCTTGAAACCTCATCTTTGGCTTGTCCATCTATTGTACTTGGTTAATATTGTACCGCGCTTTTTTTTTCTTTGTTATTATAATAAACTTTTATTATCTAAAAAACTCCTCTACCAAAACAAAACAGTAAATGTTCCATTTAATTCATAATACTTGTAACCAAATTCATAATTCTTTTAATATTTGCTAAGTAGTACAATATGTCTCTAATATACATATGTGTATACATACATACTTACATATGTATATTCTCCAGTAACTGTAAATGAAAACATGTTCATTCTTATATACATACATAAAAGGGCCATACATATACAATATGCCGGTAGTTGTGAAAATGACCATAATGAATTACATATTTTTGATTTTGAGATTGTTGCGTAATCGACTTTACTCACCATCTACCACGAAGATTGGTCTTTTCTTAGAAGGAAGAATACGAATAGAATCAGGACTCGTGATTTAGATTCAAAATGTCTTTGGTTCAGTCTTATGAATCAGGTTTTAATCATTTTATTTTGACTAATACGATGCCTGCACAATATTAACTCTTTTTTAAAAGTAATCCAAGGCTAGGCCGCATTTTCTCCGCCGAAGTAGGAACTGTGTGTTTTAATACAATTGACTACTTACAGAGGCGTGGAACATGCTTTGACGCATTCGCGAAACGCTCGCCTGTCGCGTATTGCACGCGGGAAACAAAACACGCTAGCAGTGCGATACAATGTTTAGTATTGGTTTGTCTACACAGCAGTGAAGAGTAAAACGTAATTGAAAAATGTTTGCTACAAAAAAATTTATTATGCGGCGTGTAAAACGCCCGTGTAGTCTTAGACTAAGTCTGATAAGAGTTTGATCTTGTGTGTCAGAATTGAAATCTGAAAAAAAAAACAGAAAGCCCCTTGTGAGTCTACTTTCGACCACTATGCTTCACATAGCTGCTCGATCCACCAAGCATGGCGGAAAAATGTGCAGGAGACCTTCTTTTCAAAATATTTAAGCAGAACAACCGCGTGTATGGTGGAGCGCGCTAATAACGTCAACAGAGATATTTCACTTTTGATGCCTACATGTTTTAAAAACATTTCTGTGAGCGGTATTAAACTATTCAATTCATAATTATTTTATTAACATAGTTTTATATTTTTATAATGTAGGTTGATGTAATGCAAAATAAATAACAAATTCAATTTTTCGAAATTGTTGTCATTTTTATAACCACAAACAGATATATTATGTCATAGTGAGCTCGAAACACTAATCTGCTGTGCGTGGGGTCTTGTTTACAGTGGCGGGTGAAAATCTTTATTCGATTGACGATACTATCAGATTAATAGGAAACTTTTATGTAACGGTGTGTATATTTAATCATTTTATACCTTTTATGGTTTTAAAAATCTAATTCTCTTTGTAATTTTATAAATCAGCAGAAATGTAAACATATAAAATTCTAACCTATAATTACATAAAATGCTGGAAACTTGGAGTTGTTATTATTAAATTTTATTTATGCTTTCTGTATAGTAGGACTAAACTTATTTCAAGCTCATCAATGAAGACTCTAGATAAATTGCAAACGTCAGAATGGAAAAGGCCAGAGGAAGTGATGCAGTTACACCGTTTAAAAATTAAAAAACGTGCACTTCAAGCACGTATGAGTAATACACACATTACAAGAGGAGATTTGAAATTGAGAGCTACAGAAAAATCTGACAAATGTAATTACAATACCAGTGAGTGTGTGGGTCAGAAGCGCAAAAACCCTTTTGTAAGAGATGAAACAAATAAAAAACCAAATATAACAGCTTCAGACTTAGAAGCTAGTAATGATACATTATTTGAATTATTAAAAATTGAGTCTCCAAAAGTAGATAAAGCAGAAAATACTATAATTGACTGTCCTTTGACATTCAGAAATGCACTGTCAAAATTGGAAGTAAATAAGAATATTTCAGAACCAGAAATAGTAAAAGGAGAAAAATATATTCCTGTAGATTGGACTTTAAAAACTAAAATGAGATTTATGTCTCTGAAACCATTTCCATGGAATTGTAAACTAAAAACTAGTGAAGAAGCATCAGGTATATCTGGTTTTGTAAGATGTCTAAATATTGGTGAACAAGATTCGACCTTAGATACTAGTCCAAATGCAAGGTGATTCTTATAACATTTTGTATATTTCCATTTAGTACAAATATCTACTACATAATTGAATTCATTTTAAACAGATTACATAGATGTTGCTTAGTATGGCAACACCCCTCGATTCCATGGCTGGAGTTATTTCCTCGCTCTGCTGGCAAAGTGAGTGCAAATTTAGCAAGTAATTCGACAATAGTAAACAACACGTACATTAAAGAAGCTTTATACAAAGATTGGAGTGAAAGCTTTAGGTCGCTTTTTCATTTACTGCGAGCACGACAATGTCCATACTTTTACGTTTGTGCAAATAATTTTACCGTGTTATTTCGTGCTGCTGGAATTTCTGGAATTTCAGAAGCTCATGCACTTTTAACACCTACAACACGTGGTTTTCGACAATTTTTGAAACAAGAAGGTATGAAGGATTATAATGCATAGTGAAAACACGCATAACATATTATATATTTTTATAGAAATTGAATATACAATGCCATTAAGAAAAGATTTTAAACGGCGGTCAAATCTAAGTGATTCAGGTTGTGAAACATTGGATACAGCTACATCAAATACTACATTAGTGAACCATATAGAAGATCAAAATCTTGATGACGAAGATGAAACACAAGATGAGTGGTTACAAAGTTTAGGAGTTGAGAATTCTGAAATTCGTAAAATTAATAGTTCTCAGGTAATTTAAA